GTCGCCCCCTCCCCGCTTTTGGGGTGGGGGAGAATTGAGAGAGAGAGAGACAAACACACACACACACACAAAGAGGAGAGGGGAACTGCTGGGGCCGGCCCGTATTGAAGAATATGGCCGAATTTACCCGGGCTGGCCGTATATCGGCGTATAACACGCACACATCATTTGCCCCCTATTTTCAGGGGGAAAAAGTGCGCGTTATACGCCGATAAATACGGTACATAACATTCATATTTGATGTAATTGTTTGAGAAATATTACATGGAATAAGAATACATAAATCACCCTGTGGTGGGATGGACAGCAAATAAATTTAATAAATAAATAAAATATATAAATCATTTATACATATTATCATAATTTAATATACTAAAAAGTAATTATTTGTTTGAATCAATTCTGATTTAGGTCAATTAATAGAGAATCCAGAAGCAAAGAAAAAAGTTCAAAACTAAACAATAAAATATCATCATATAATAGTTGTTTTGTTAGTTGCGAAGTCGTGTCCGACTTCGTGTCCATCGCGACCCCATGGACAATGTTCCTCCAAGCCTTCCTGTCCTCTACCATCTTCTGGAGTCCATTTAAGCTCACGCCTACTGCTTCAGTAACTCCATCCAGCCACCTCATTCCCTGTCGTCCCCTTCTTCTATTGCCCTCAATCTTTCCCAGCATTAGGCTCTTCTCTAGTGAGTCCTTCCTTCTCATTAGGTGGCCAAAGTACTTGAGTTTCAATGTCAGGATCTGGCCTTCTAAAAAGCAGTCAGGGTTGATCTCCTCCAGGACTGTCCAGTTTGATCGCCTTGCAGTCCAGGGGACTCACAGGAGTCTTCTCCAGCACCATAGTTCAAAGATATAATAGTTATTAGTATTAAAATGAGTTGAGAAATAAACAATTTTGAAGTTCAAAATAAAACATATTAAACATAATTCCTGACACTGTTATATTGTTTCAAATATTATAGTATGCTATTTATGAAAAAAAAGGATTTTGATTCTTTTTGTCATGCTAAATTAACTTTATAGAATAGTGCAGACTTTAAAGCATCTTGGTTAGGATCATTAGCACTTTCATTATGAGAAGTACAAATTATGTTTCTTATTTATTTGAATTGTATAAATATGTTTCTTTGTAGAAAAAAATGAAATTTGAGTATACATTATTTTATAGGGGAAAGAAAAAAATCAAAGAAAAAATTAGTATGGTCAGCCCATTTGCAGTGGTAAGTTATAAAATTTGGTTGTTTTATTTTGTTTTGTTTTGGTGCCCTGGGGTCAGTGTTAATTTCTACTGTCCACCTGGACTAATTCATGCAGTTTTCTTGGCAAGATTTCAGAAGTTATTTGCCATTGCCCGATTTCTAGAGCTGACTGGCCTAAGCTAATCCTGCTAGCTTTGTTCCTTAGGCAGGATTAAAACTCTCAGCGTCATATTTCTAACCTGATGTTTTAACCACTACATCAGGCTGATTCTGTTTTAAAATTAAAGTTTAAAATTTAAATTAAAGTAGCAAAACTTTTAAAATGCTGTGTGTGTATTCAATAAAACTAAATAAGAACACTCATTCTATGAATATTATATGCAATTTGTTAATTTGTATTCAAGCTATTTTTTTTAAAAAGATACCGGATAACAGTGCTTTAAATTATTGATATAAACCATATTGTGTTATCATTGCCTCATTTAATGCAAGAATATGAAAAAACGAAAAGTCAGTAAATGCTGTCTGTTAATTGTGGAATTATCTCATAGATGTGTGTGTTCTAGTTGTATGACATATATCAATAAGTGGACAATTTTTTCACATGTGGATAATTTGCTTTTCAGTTTCGTTACTCCGAATCCCTGGATAAATTATTAATGATAGTGGGCGCTATTTTTGCAGCCCTTCATGGGGCTTCCCTTCCAGTTATGATGATTGTTTTTGGAGACATGACAGATACCTTTGTTGGATCGGGAACTCTTCCTCCAGGTAAAAGGAGTCAATAATGTCATGAAAAGAATGCAAAGACAGGATTAAAGCATGTATCATTTACAGTGGATCCCTAAGAAAATTGCCAAAAGTTTAGTAGGCTCTTGACTACTGGCATTGACTAGTGCAGGATTTACAAACAAGAACATTCTATTCTTACATTGATGACAAATGGCTGTTCAGAATGGTGTAAGTCTTCTAATTGGGCAAGGGGTTGGACTGCAAGACCTCCAAGGTTTTTTCTAACTCTGTTATTCTAGGTTCTATATATAGTCATCCATGTAAGACTGATATTGCAAGAGAAAAAACTTAGACAAATGTATCTGATAAACATAATAAATATATATAGATCAATATATCTAACACTAATAATAAATGTTATATACAAATTAGAATCATTTGCCAAAACTAGACTGACTGTAAAGAATAATCTTTGGAGCATGTAAGCAGTGATAGAAACATAGGAAACCAGCCTTATGCCAAATTAAACTTTGGAATCCTCTTCTACAAGGCCATATTCTGAAAATAGATGGGACCAAAATAAAAAATAGCTGTGTGAGCCACTGAAAATCATATGCAGGCCCATTTAGTAGTACTGTGAAAAAGACCAATACTTTCAAATAACAATAATATTTAATTAAAATAAATATATACATTTAAGGGCAGAAGATAACATTTTGTAGATAATCTGGGAGACTTTTCTTATATGTTGCCACAGTTTAGCATTTTCCTTTGTATTATGAAGTATAAATCTATTTTAGAATTTACACTATATTTTTAATATTTTTTGCCACTAAATGGCAAGAAATCATGCTACCTATGTAAGACAATTTTAGTCAGAGTTGATTCTAAGGGCTACATAATAATCTAAGCCTTAGACTGTCTTACAACCTTAGATCCAACAACATTTTAACAGAGCCATGAAAACAAGGATAATTAACTCCTTAAACAGAAAGTCCTAAATGCTCTCCAACAGAACTTTTCTGAACTTTACCATTTCCTGCTATCGACAGAGAACTATGTATACAAGAGATAGCTATAATACTCCTATTTTCTCTAGGATAACATGGCTACAGGTAGTCCTCATTTAGCAACCACAGTTGAGACATGCAACTTTATTTGTAATCAAAGCAGTTACTAAATGGGAAAACACTTAAACGTGTTTGTGCGTTGCTTTTTCCCATTCCCCCAACCTTTGGAGTGCTGGGATAGTTAGGAAAAAGAGAATTAATGTTTATTTACATTGATTGGAGAGAAAGGGATTTCAAGAGAGTAAGCAGGCACGTAATGGGGAATGTTTACTCTCTTGTAAACTCTTCCTTCCCAATCTCTCCACTCTGTGAAGGGGGAAAGAAAAATGGGTCAGGCACAGTACTAATGTATACTAACTGATTGGAATGGTGAATACATAACACAGAGAGACAGAGACAGAAACTGCACAGTTAGTCAATGTGCACTTTGGTCACAAAGTTATTTTTTCATCATAATTTGACATTATCACTGCATGAGGTAATCAGTAAATGAGTTCTAGCTATAGAGCAAGGACTGAAATCACAAGCTAAATTGGTAACACAAGCAGACACTTCTTCAGTTTGCTATCTTTCTTTGAATAATATATCCTACCATATTTTTTTCAAATCATGATGTGCACAGTCATTCAAAATCTCACTAAAAACCAAAGATGTTTCTTCATTAAGAACAGAATTGGAGGAATAGCCACAAGGAATCTTATCAGGGGCAATTGTCTTGATATAAACAAATGATGGCATTTGATAATTTATAGAGTTTTAAAAACCTTTATAATCTTGTGACTGGGGATAATCTTGTGACTGGTGATATTAAATTGTTAATATCTCCTTAATATTTTTTACTTGATTTAAACCATTTTTTCTTCCTTCTGGATAGATAATGCACCTTTACCTACTGACTCCCAGTACTTACCTTTTAAGGATCTAGAAGAAACAATGACAAGGTACCTTAAATTAATATATATACATCATTATACATTACATATTTGATATATATATATAAGTGCTTCTGTAAATAGTGTAATAAATGATAATATTTTAAAACAAGGATTGAATAACTTCCTATAATAAAGTTTATAAGTCTGGATACAATGCAATCAGTGAAGTTGCCTATATAGAGAAGCCATGTTAGTCTCAAAATCAGTTATTGATTATAAAATTCAGAAAACAAAAATGAGATGAAATTGATTAAAGTGATGCCTCATTATGTCAGTACTACTGAAATCCTTATCTGGATAGATGCACTTTAGTTAGTGGTATTAAAGCAAATTATGGTGTTCATAAAATAGTATACCAGCACTACATATAAAGGTATGATCAGAGCAATCATGTTATCTGTCCCAAATAGAAGAGCTATGTTGTACATCAATTATTATGAATGTTGTAGTTTGGAATGGGGAGGCACTCATTCAAGGGCCTGATGACTACCATGTATTGGACTACAACTCAGATACAGCCTCTTGGAACTCTGTTTCAATAAATCTGGAAATCATCAGGTTAGGGAATAATGCTTTAGTGTGCATTCTGATCTTGGCGACAAACCAGAATCTAGAAAATTGGTGAAAGACTGCAATTCTATACTTCAGGTAACTGCATTTATGCAAAAATGGGACAAAAGAGTCTTAAAATGGTTCTGCCCAACCTGTTATTTCCCCCCAGTACCTTACATGTAGGCTTCTACCACCCTACAACTAAGGGTGGTAGACAGAAAAGGCAAAGGAAGGAATTCTGGTTTGCCGCTGCAGATGCTGCAAATGTTCAGAAAGCGAGCTCCGTCTTCCACGTCCAATTTCACACCGCTGGGGGATCCTGGAAAGGGTTGAAAGTCACCCTGTAGGGGCGACCAGCAAGGAGGGCATCCCCGCTTGATCATGGGAGGGTGGTAGCCCTTCTTCTTGATCCGGGAAAGCCCTCCAAACCAGCAGAAGAAAGACCGGCCATAGCAATATGGCTTGTCACTAGGCTGCAGACAGCTGAAGTCAAACTTACCACCAGGCACCTACAAAGCAGTGTGGATTAGACTGGGTGAGATCTACCTCTATTCAATCCTAACTATTTTTTTTCACCTGTATAAGCTGCTCAAAGTATTTTTCCCCTGTGAGAGAGGGAAGGGAGATTCTATCTCAGCCTCTAAAAACAGGGCGACTGACTATCCAGGGGAGTTTAAAACATTGCAAGAATAACCTGCTTCTAACTGGATCTTTATCTTTCTAAAATTTGTGGACTAAAAGATTTCTTATTCTTATTGAAGATTTGGGTTTTTACTACAAAAAGAAGTAAAATTGGACAAAGGATTATAAAAATTTTGGATTTTTTTTTTAAAAAACCCTAAATTGTATGGGCGACATCTTGTGGCTAAACCTGATATTACAATTTGTTATTGCCTAAAAGAGACTTGGCTTGAAGCCCAGACTATAGATAACTGCAACCTTAACAGATATCAACTGTGAGAAGCCCAACTGTGTTCTATATTCAGTGACAAAAGTATTTTCATTCTGATTGTAAAGCTTTTAACTTAACACTCTACTAAGAGAACATGGATGAAGATCAGGAACAGATTCTCTTTATGTTGAAAGCAATTTATGAAAGCTATTCTTACAACTACTGATGAAATAAGAAGCTACAGAAAAGAACAAGATGTCAGCCTACATATACGAACCCAAACTTTGATTACAACTAAAGAATTAACTACACAGAATGTAATAGAAGAAGTAGAACAATTAAATACTATGATAGAAGATTCAATTGACCAACAAACACAGTTAATGGAAAACCCAGAAAAGAGACCGACAACATGGAAAAGGGAAAAGACTTTCTATATAAACCAAAAGAAACCTGAGGATCAAGAAGAACAGACTGAAGGGAAGATTAACATTTCAGGACAACTATGTCGAGATGGAAAAATAGAAAGATGATTTGTTAGTCCTTCCAAAAAAATAGCGACCGGATGGCCTTTTCTAATTCAAACAATATATATAATAATACAGGGAGATCTATTTGATGATTTAAAAGCACAGACATGGAAGGCGAGTTGGCAAAGAAAGAAAGCTAGAATAAGGCTGAAGAAAATTGGGGTTTTGCCTTATTTGTGAAAATTAAAATAGAACATACTCAAATAGACAAGATGAGTATTTTGAATACTAGATTTTGTTATGAGCTGAGATAAAGAAAACTTTGGTCAATTAAAACTTGGAAGTATAAATATTAAAAGTTAAATTTGAATATTGATTTGCTTATAAAGGTTGAATGTAAAATTAATTAAGATATATATATAAGCTAAAAATCTATTGATAAATGTAATAAATATGTTTTTACTTAGCTGCTATAATAAAAATTATTAGCTTAAATATGAGATAGTAGATACCAAGAGAAAAAGAGAGGAACTTTTTAATGTTGAAATAAGAGAAATTTTGGTTATTAAATTTAAGACATTTTGAAATTAATAGAAAATAAGAATGTTATATTGTATTATTAATTAGTTGATGTAAGATGGTGAGAAATAGAATATATTCAAATAGATAAGACGTGTATCCTGAACATTAGATTTTGTGATGAATTGGGATAAAGGAAACTGTGGTTATTTAAAACTTGCAAATTATAAATGTTAAATGTTAAATTTAAATATTAATGAGAAACTAAAAATTGGGAAAAACTAATTAGGACATTGAATGTTAAAATAACTAGGATATGTATAAACTAAAAATTATTGATAAATGTAAGAAAGTTATTTTTATTTAATTGATATAATAAGAATTGTATTAGTTTAAACATGAGACAGTAAACACTAAGGGGAAAAGAGAGGAAATATTTAATGTAATAGTTGAGACTTGTACTAAAGATATTTGTATGTTTTTGAATTATTGATTAACTCAGCCACCACGTTGTTTTTTAAATATTTAAATGTAAAACTAGAAAATCAATAAAACTTTTTTTAAAAAAAGAAAGAAAAAGCAAAGGAAGTGGGGGGTCAAGGAAAATAAAAATACAAAAGGGCAGAGCTTCCACTATGATGTCACAAATTGTTTTGGCTAAATGTAGATGCCTATGTCTATAACAAGGATCTTTCTCCACATTAAAGCAATATAAATGTATTCATCAAATCATGATGGCTTAATGCTTTGAATAGTTTGTTTTATGCAACAAACTTCTCCAAGCTGTTGCCTTCATGCTGTGTAGTACTAGAAGTCTCATAATTCATCAGGCAGAGGAGCAAATAGCCATACTTGTTATGTATGTTGGGTAATACAGCCATCTGAATGCAAATTTCTTGAGAAAAATAAGAAGACTAATTGCTTCAGTGTTGACTCATAATATTTTTAGGACCCTAATAACTATGAAACAATCTGAAGAAATATTCTTTTGGTCAAATCTGTCACATTCTTGCTTTTTAGTTGTTTACATTGAGTATATTTTCTACATTATTTGGTCAATTCCTTTCTTAAGATTAATAATGATGCTACAGACAAACATAGATTACCTTCTTGAATTTACCTCTACAATACTGTATTTCAGGTATGCATACTGGTATTCAGCCATAGGAGCTGGAGTTCTTGTTTCTGCCTATGCATACACTGCATGTTGGACACTTGCGGCTGGCCGCCAGGTCAAAAGAATTAGGCAACAATTTTTCCACGCCATTATGAGGCAAGAAGTAGAATGGTTTGATGTAAATGATGCTGGAGAATTAAATACACGACTTATAGAGTGAGTACATATTTCATGCTTTTTCTTCAGTAGTTAATTTAATTTACCAGTTTAGTAACTCTAAAGTAAATCTCAGTTGCTTAGTGTGTGTTAGTAAAATTCAGCTCTGAAAAAGTACTGCATGTGTATAGCACTGGAGGACAATGGGATCCTCTGCTTTCTACTGATCTCCAAGATTAGCATGTCCAAGGGAAACTTCTGCTTAAAATTGCCAAACTAAAATGGATAAGCATCTTTGATTCTGCTTAAAATCTCCATCAAATTCATTCATTGCTTAGCAGAACAAAACAAAAGTTACTACCTTATCTTAAATACATTTGCTTTTATATAGAATGCTTACAAATTACACTTCTTCCAGTTCACTGCATTTTTATCTCACTCCTTTATAATTTTCCCCTTTATTCAGGATACATGGTACAATTGTGTATTTTCTGGCAAGAGGAATATATATTCTATATCCATGTATGTACTCAAACTGTGCTGTGTTGATACAACTGAAGTATGTCAGAAAACCAGCAAAAATGTGTCTTGATAGTCATTTCCTGAATATTGCCCTAACAAGTTTGCTCTAATTTCTTTTCAGTGATGTATCCAAAATCAATGAAGGAATTGGTGATAAAATTGGAATGCTGATTCACGGAATATCAGCATTTCTATCAGGATTTATAGTCGGATTCATTAAAGGATGGAAATTGACTCTTGTAATCCTTGCTATCAGTCCTGTTCTAGGAATCTGTGCTGCAATTTGGGCAAAGGCAGGTATACTTTTGCTGAAATATAATGGTATAGTACACAAACTCCTTTCAGTCATGAAAATGCCATTGTGTTTCCCTCTAAAATGGAGTTTTAATTGTTTCTGTGTTTCTTGAAATAATAGTAGGGATAATATATGTATCTTCAGAGGCTGTATGTCATTAGCAAAATGTCCTGGGTGGTCGAGGATGTAATATATACCTTCTTTAGGAAAGAAGAAACAACACATTATTTCATTGCTGGATCTTGATTGATTAGTTTTGGTTTCAGATCAGTATATTCTAATCTAAAAGTGTACTAAATTTTCCTGAATAGTATATCAAGTATATCAAGTCATTTGTGAGTGGCATACATAAAAAGATTACTCAGTCGTGACTGACATCTTCATTTTTTTGACCCCTTTGAGAAATTCCATGCAAGTTGCCATTAGTGCAGATGTGTACCCACAGGAAAACACATACACACACACACACACACACACACACACACACAGCATAACCATCCCACAAGAGATCAGTGAGATGTCCCTAGAAGCATTCTTTTTTTCTCTTTTGTGTTGAGAGGGACTTATGGGATTTCACTTCTGTACTCAACATTTGTGACTCACTAAAATGAAGATAACATTCAACCTCTATCTGTGTTTGAGAGTGTCCTCTGTCCTTTAAGAGGGCTTTTTCACGCTTGGGGAAAACCACTCTGCTTGTCTCCATATTTTGAGGTTTATCTGGCCCTTGGGAATCTCAGCTGTTTAAACTTTATCCTTTTTCTTCTAAATCATTCTGTCCTATAGCCAAGGGAATATGGCTATTGCCAGCTTCCCCATCCTCCAGATCCTGATAGATAGATAGATAGATAGATAGATAGATAGATAGATAGATAGATAGATAGATAGATAGATAGATAGATAACCTTTATTGTCCATTTTTTTTTTACTGTGGGCACAATAGCACACATTAAAAATGAAATTTAGTTGCTTGTTCTCAAAGCAACACATACATAACACACATTTAAACATACTCTAAACAATATATGTATAGACCTACACGCTTACATATAAGCAGCATATAAATATTAATCACTGTCCATCTTGAATACATAATGGAAGGGGAAAGTTTAGAATTCACAAGGTTAATACTGTATGGAACAAAACTGTGACTGAATCTGGATGTTCTGCTTTGGATACCACGGAGCCTCCTCCCAGAAGGTAACAAAGAAAACAGGTTGTGAGGAAGGTGTGTGGTGTCCCAGGCAATCCTGCAGACCCTGCTCAAGCAACGCTTATGTGCTATGTCCTGGATGGAAGGAAGAGAACTGCCAATAATCTTTTCAGCCATCCTCACCGCTCTCTGCACCGCCTTCCTATCTGAAGCAGGCAGTAATGCTTCCAAACCAGACTGTGATGATTCCATTCCAGCAGTTAGTTTTCAATAGCCACGAGAAAAAAACATGGTGAGGGGGAAAAAACACCAGGCATCGCAGTCTGTGATTGTATGTGGCCTCTTTTTAAGCTGAGGGCAGCCCAATGGAAGAGTGAAATACGACAGTAAAAAGCTTTGCCCGGTGATGTAAAACTTCTCTAAAGGATAAGATGGAACATTGTTGATGGCTGTCTAGAATTTTGCTACCTGAAGAATAAAGTTAAAGCAAGCATTTTGGGTTCTTCAAAACAGTCTAAGGTGCTGCAAAAGAACCTTAAGATATTAGGCACAGTCACATTATACATGTTCATATTCTTTAAAAATCAAAAGCAATGGAAAAAAGAAGAAAAATGCCAGAACTTACTAAGAAGAGGAGAGAAAGGTGGGAAAGGGATAGTTCTGGCCATGGAAAGGGGAACAAAGATGGGGCAGGTAGAAATTACTTGATTTTAAGAAGAAACATATTGTAGACTTTTTTAGATGGTAGGCAGCATCTAATCTCCAATGTTTCACTGGAGATGTTCATGTAAGAAAATGAAGCTGGTGTTAGATTTAAATGGAAAAGTCAAAACTTTGTTCTTTTGCACAGATCCTTTCTGCATTCACTAATAAGGAACTTGCTGCATACGCAAAAGCTGGTTCAGTTGCTGAGGAAGTTCTAGGTGCTATCAGAACAGTGATAGCTTTTGGAGGACAGAAGAAAGAAATTGAAAGGTCAGGAAAATTTATTAATTTTACACAGAATCTCTGGGGCTAATTTCATTCTGTATATTTGACTCTTCCGAAAGCAAATAAGTGATAGACCAGTAACATTCATCGCCACACTCTTCCATATTTGTTCATAAGAGTTGATCTAAATCAGACATGTCAAACTCGTGACGTCACGTGATATTGCACAATGTATTGGAGCTTTTTCCCCATTGCTGGCAATGGGGTGGGCGCGGTTTCTTCGTGACGGGTCCAGCCTACAGGCTGGCAGTTGGACACCCCTGATCTAAATTTTAGTCATGTTAAAATGTTCCTATTGTCTTCAAGCAGCAGGGAGTTGAAATAAAAAACTCCCTCAAAACTGCAAATCTGGGGTGTTTCTGCTTGCTTCTCAGTGATGCTCTACAATTGAAATGAAATAGGGTACTCCATAGTCTGATTCTGTTTCTTTTTTACTGATTCCTCTCATCCATTCATGCAGGACTTGCAATAGCTTTTCAGCGTAAATCTCAAGGGTTTGTGATAAAAAGGAATTAAATGAATTTAAATATGAGTTGCACACATACACAAGCTGCTACATAAAGGACAGTATGGCTGCAAGTAGAAGGGAATAACTAAATAATTAGAATAACTAATTTTGGCCAAAATTAAATATTTCTGTTGCCAAAAAGACTGATAGCAATAGCAATATCACTTAGACTTATATATCGCTCTCCAGTGCTTTACAGCACTCTCTGAGCAGTTTACAAATGTAAACATATTGTCCCCAATAATCTGGGTCCTCATTTTACCCACCTTGGAAGGATGGAATGCTGAATGTCTATAAAGATTCTCAGTCATCCAGATCATGGTTGTCCCAAAGATGCTTTTTAAAGAGGCAACTTGTTTTTTCTTTGAAGATGTTTTGCTTTTCATCCAAGACGTTTCTTCAGCTCTGATTGGATGGTGGGGGATTGAAGGATTTATATTCTTTGCAGACAGCTGGTCATTTGCATTTATTTAGAGAGTCATTGAGGCCACTTAGAAGTTTATCTGTGTCCTCGATCATCTGAGTGGTGCAAATGGTATGGAGTCTTCTTGGAACTGTTGAAAGGACTGTGTTGTAGACTGAAGATAGATGATGTCATATCCCTTCCCTCTGTTTAGAGAGGGCTGTTCAATTTTGACATGGATGGCGTCTTTTATTTCTCTTTCAAACAAGCAGTCCTCTCTGTCCAAAATGTGGACTTTGCTGTCTTCAAAAAAGTGGCCTTTGTCTTTTAAATGCAGATGGACTGCTGAATCTTGTCCTGATGGGTTTGTTCTCATATGTTGTGCCATGCATTTATGAAGTAGTTGTTTTATTTCCCCAATGTACAGATCTGCACATGTCTCACTGCATTGTATTGCACATACCACGTTGCTTAGTTTGTGTCTGGATGTTTTATCGTTGGGGTGGACAAGCTTCTGCCTTAGTGTATTCTTGGATTTAAAGCAGAAGCTTGTCCATCCCATTTATATCAAATGCAATTATATAATATACTGAATTTTCCATTTTTCTTTCAGATATCATAAAAATTTAGAAGAAGCTAAAAACATTGGGATAAGGAAGGCTATTAGTACCAGCATTTCCCTTGGAGTTGCTTTCTTAATAATATATGCCTCCTATGCATTGGCTTTCTGGTATGGAACTACATTGATAATAGAGGAAAAATACAGTATTGGAGGAGTCCTTACAGTAAGTGTTGGCAATTAGCTATACAGTTTTATTTTGCAAAAATAAAATAAAATAAAATCAATAATAATAACCAATTTCCAAAGCTGGGTCTTTATGGTGTGAAAACAACTTTGCAATACACATGTACAAATCCCATGTAATATGTTGTTAGTTAGAGCTTTGGTTGATCTTGAAAAGCTAAGCATGTATGAGATCACCACAAATTCTCAGGGCAATAGATCTAGGAATAGGAAGGTCAAATGGTATCTTGGAAGAAAGCAATTGAAACTCATATCTGTACTATTGCCAAGAAACCTTTGTGAAGTTGAGGCTAACTTGAAGGTGACTCCATATGGTATTTTATTTCATATGCGCTGTCATGAGAGATGGCTATCAACTTCCTGTCTCACTTATGTCCTGGAAACATCAGCTCAATGACAAAGGAGTTAAACTTCTTGATTTGAACCATTAGAGTGGCATTCCTGTTGCTCCCTCTGCTAACTGTTGAAATAACTTGTGCAAGAGGACCCTTGCTCCACTTTATATCATGACAAAGCTGCTTTCCCTTTAAGAATACACTTTTGATTCTGTTTATTTTCTCTCTCTGCGTCCTCCATTGTATCCTTTGTTGAGGTTCTGCTGGTAATCAAATTGTTCATTGGATTCTAGTTATTCCTGATCTCCCTGCCCTTTCCTTAGCATCTCACTTCAGTTCCCATTAGCCAGGCTGCCACCTGAAATGTGCCTTAGCACATGTACTAGCTTCCTTTCATTGTGCAGCCCAACATGATTATTTGTCCAGTTTCCACAGTCATTCAAATGGTTAGGACACTTGAAGACAAATAAAACTATATATTATTGTTTGGCGAGGCACTGCATATTTTCTGCTTTCAAACCCTTCCAACTGGAAAGAGTACGGTTTGCCAAGGGAAAAGGGAGTTTATTTATAGACCATGTTTATTTTTAATCTTTTTCTTTTTGCCTGCCAAGTATTGTAGGCAATCATAGTTTGAAATAGGAAAGGCCTATTATATATTTTGCTTGTAGGTTTTCTGACCTAAGATGTTTTTAAGGTATTTTTAGGAAATGGTACAGAGATAATTAATGCTTCCCTGTTTTGCCAAGCACTGCATAGTATTGCAGCTTAAGATAATAAAAAAGCATAGTTTGGCAGGAGAATCTTTGACTTATCAAATTCAGTAAATATTGGAGCATGCATTGAAGTAAATCGCAGGTACCACATAGCAAAATTGTAATTCTAATAAATGTCAAAAATAATTTTCATGCTGGTTGGCAAGGGTGGGCTAAACTGTGATTCGCAATTCCTTCTATACAACATAGCTTTTTAGAGAAAAGTCAAAACCTGCAAAATTTGATCACCTGCCATTTGTAAATTTGACCTTTGGTTTCATGGTATTTTAAAAACCATACCATGTGATCTAAACTAGGATTAACTTCTATTTAAAATCTAAGAAAAAAGCCTACTGAAAAAAGGAAACCCAAAGGTGCTTTTTCAGGAGGCAACTGGACTTTCTTGCTTTTCTTTGAAAACGTTTCACTTCTCATCCAATAAGCTTCTTCAGCTCTGACTAGATGGTGGGGAGTGGAAGAATTTATATTGCTTGCAGACAGCTGGTCATTTGCATTCTTTTAGAGAGTCGTTGGGACCTTTTGGAGATTTACCTGTGTCCTCAGGGTCACCTGAGTAGTGCAAATCCATGTAGAGCCTTGTTGGCTGCAGGATGTTTTCTCCCCTGTGTTCCTTCACTATTGAAGTCAGGAGCAGGCTGTTGGGGGTGAGTCTGTGACTGAATCTCAAACTGAAGCACAAAAGGTTCCTGTAGTCTACAAAATTTTCTGGAAATCCATTCTTAATCTCACACCCTGAAGACACAGGTAAATTTCCAAATGGCCCCAACGACTCTCTAAAAGAATGCAAATGACCAGCTGTCTGCAAGCAATATAAATCCTTCCACGCTCCACCATCTAGTCAGAGCTGAAGAAGCTTCTTGGATGAGAAGCGGAACATCTTCAAAGAAAAACACGAAAGTCCAGTTGCCTCCTGAGAAAGCACCTTTGGGACAACCATACTTGGATGACTGAAAAAAGGAAAAGATATAACGAATAGAAAGAATGATCTTGACGAACAGAAGGAACAACCACTATCAAGACAATGTTCAGATAAAAAAACCTGAGTCAAGGCAGATCTATAAACTGAGAAAGCATCTCAAACAAGGCCATTTCTACTTCTCATGAAGATAAAGGAAGGGAACTAGGGAGCACATTCAGACTTGCAGAATTCTATTATTATAACCTTATGATAAAAGTATCATTAGCCTACATGACTTTGGTTTCCTAGTTTGGTTTATCTTGAAGAGCATTATAACCCAGATGTATCTACTTTTGTGTTATTGCCCAAACCTCAGCCCATTTCCTGAAATTATTACTGTCCTCTCCAACTTTGTAGGAACAGCTTAAGCCCCCAAATCCCCAAGTGGTGAAATTATATTACCATCCATCTTGATCTTGTGTGTCTCTTTACTTACTTAAAAATGTTGTGAGCTGGCAGTATTTGGACCCCCTCCTATCTGTTGTGTCAACTGAAAACATTGACCGGCCAAAAACCAGCCCTGCTTTCATTATTACACATAATTCTGTTTTAGTTGTGTATTTAACTATATTTTAGTTTACTTTTATTCCTTTATTTTTGTGTATTATAGTTTTTTCTTTGTTTTTAATATATTTTACTTGTGAACCACCCAAAGTCATTGAGAGTCAGGACAGTTCTTTAAATAAATAAATAAATAATAAAAAATAAAGAAATATATATTGCAATTAAAAAAACCCGTATTTACTTTTTAAAAGCTTACTTTGATAGTGCAAAGGATTAGAATTTGGTTAGATTATTTTAATATCATTTCAGTGAAAATGACAATATTTTCTTACAATGCAAATTTTGAAATGGTTACTTATACCATTACATTTGTATGCTGAATGAAGTTATTCAAACACTATATTGAGAATATTCAAGCATCATTGTTTCCTCCAGTAGACATTTTTTGCTTGCTGAAGTTCAGCCAATCATTTTTATATTATTGTATATGGAAACTATACAGCTGACAATGGATGTTTCTTTCTGTTCTGAAACACTTTTGTGTAGGTCTTCTTTGCTGTGATCATTGGAGCATTTAGTATTGGCCAAGTCTCTCCAAACCTACAAGCATTTGCTAGTGCTAGAGGAGCTGCATATGCAATATACAAAATCATAGACAATGTAAGTATCCTTTTTGGAACTATGCCTACAAATGAAAAGAGCCAAAGAATTGGAGATCTGTTAAAGGTTTTAATAATCATTGGTGAAAACCAGGTGACAAGGCCATTAGATCCCTATGTTGTGGCATGATTTGTAGGAGAAGGGCAGATAGAGCTGGGGGACAGAGTTAAGCATGTCATCAGGTTAGAGTCATAACATTCCCACAAATGGTCCAGATCTGACTTCTCTTGAATTCCCTTACCTGGCATCAATTTAATATTGAATTTTAGTTGACTAGATTCTTATGTATAAGCTTGAGTAATAAATCTGAACTGCAATTTAACATATGGGCCTTTGCACCTGGCATGATTAGAACTACAATACAGATAGTCCTTGATTTACATGATGCTGGTTGCAGAGTGTTTGAAGTGCAGACACATAAGCAGAAAGCAGGCAACCATCATGATTTCTGAACCATGTCATAAATACCTTTGGGGGGGGGCGGAATCGTTGTAACTTCAAATGGTCAATAAGCAATTGGTTATAATTTGAGAACTAAGGAGAAACTTCCTGACAGTTAGAACAATTAACCAGTGGAACAACCTGCCTCCAGAAGTGGTGAATGCTCCAACACTGGAAGTTTTTAAGAAGAGACTGGACAGCCATTTGTCTGAAATGGTATAGGTTTCCTGCCTGAGCAGGGGGTTGGACTAGATGACCTCCAAGGTCCCTTCCAACTTTATTATTATTATTATTATTATTATTATTATTATTATTATTATTATTATTATTATTATTATTATTATTATTATTATTATTATTATCTGTGATTGGATAGTGCAACAGTCCAAATGGCAATTAGATAGAGGAAAGACTTTTTGCTGCCCTTTACTGATTGGCTGAATTTTGTAGCCTTGGGCATATAGAAAACATATCAGATTTGTTTTCAAATCTATGCATGCCTAAGGTAATTCTTCAAATTTAGCCATTACAGATATTGTTAATTGCATCTTTCTGTTTTTTATTGAATAGTCATGCAAATCTCTAATAATAAAACTAATAATAACAGTAAAAAATAAAAGACTGTATTTCAATATTGGCTAAGAAATCAATAAAGAAAATAGATTGTGGCATTTCTCACTACAGTGAAATGATCAATTCAGTTCATTAATGATATACTTTTAGGAGTAGAATAAAGGAGGGGCTAGATGAATGTTCAGAATACAGGAATAGCTATATAGTGTGACAATTAACAGCAAAGAAAATAAAATTAAATCAAGTTTTGCACTTACTCTGTAAATGGTTAATGTAGATAAGTTAATGTAGAGTTGATAATTGTATGACCCCAGCAAGCATAGTTGAACAATGACATAACAGCCTGTAAGATATTGCCTAAGAAACCAAAACAGAAACTGAAACATTGAGGGTATTGAGGGACATGAAGGGGGGGGAAATGTCAATTTTATTTTGAGTATATTTTTAATGAGAACTTTTCTCTGTTCCTATAAGATAAAGGAAATGTAGGTTAGCAACAAGGAACAATGCTAAAATGTAGTTCCTAGAGATCTAAATTGGCTGTAAACAAAGATGTAAGTTCATACATTGTAGTAAATCAAAGTATATTTAATTATAGTTTTAACTAGAATCAGAATTGATTAGATTTATAAATCATAGCAAGCTATAATCCACTGCTTATAAATCACAATGTGTAGATTCAGATTTTATGTTAAAACCAAACCATGATACTGTGGCTAAGCAAAGATTTCACCAACAAGATACCCTCTAGATGTGCATAATTCTCAGACTTTCCTTGACCAGCATGGCCTTTCCTGCAAATCTGAAACTTGAAGGTTACAGATCTGGATGGTACACAGATTGAGGAAGATTGTATGTAGTGTGCTGTGTCAAATCAATGTAAAAAAACAATTATGGCTACTTATGTAAAAATAGAAAATCCTATAGATAAACTTTCATGTTACACAACTTGCATGCAATATTTTCTTTTGTTTTCAATCTGCAAATGCATGAAACTAACTGGTTTTAATTTGTTATTTTCTTTTATGTAGGAACCACAAATTGATATTTATTCAGAAAGTGGCTATAAACCTGACAAAATTACAGGAAATCTCAGTTTCCAAAATGTATATTTTAATTATCCAGCAAGGCCAGATGTCAAGGTATCATAAGTTAAACCAGGAAGTATTTTCCACTATTACCATTTAAATTATAACTAATCTAATCAGTTTCAAATAATAAAGGAAGATCTCAATACTATATAGTTTTATTTAGAACTGCCAAGGGAATAGAATGTGATGCAAACATATGTACTAAACCAATTCTAAAAAGACTTCATAGCATAAACACCATATTATTGCTTTAAATTAGATTTTCCTACAGATCCCTTCTGAATGGGTTGGAATCACATTTGAATTTCCAGCCACCATGTGCATTCTAAGTTACAGCCCCAAGACCTTTGGAGACCACCAAAATAGAGAAGTCTTCTGTAAAATATGCAAAATTTTATGTTATTGATGTTTTGCCCTAATTGTTCACTGCTACAATTCCTTGTTTTTGTTTTTTCAAAAAAAAAGACAAAATTTCCTATACATAAATAAATGCCGAGGGTTAAAGCAATAATAAATGTAGCATCAAAGCAACTTCAGAAAATTTTTTGCCAATAGAATTTATTGAGAGTAATCTTAAATATATTTCATTGCCATATATTACTTATTAGGGTTGCATGGTCTAGGACAGGGCTTTTCAATCGGTGGTATGCATACGACCTGTGGTACTTTGGCACGCGGCAGGTGGTACGCAGCCATCCTAGAGAAGTGTAGCAGGGGAGGAGAATGAGATGAAGCAATCCAAGCCTGAGGGAGAGGCAGCTGCAGCTGCAGGACTGTCTGGGCTTGGCAGAAGCCCCAGGAGCCAGCAGGGCTCCAGCTGATTGGCGCTTCTGGAAGCAGCGTGGAGCTGGAGGTGAACTGAAGAAAAGTGGAGGGGGGAGGAGAGGCTATAAAAGGAGGCGGTTTGGGCAGGAAAGGGAAAAAAAGACAACAGGGAAAGAGAAGAGAGCTCAACAGGCAGAGAGGAAACAGGGACAGAGAAGAAGCAGCAGCTGTTGCTGGAAGAAAAGGTCCCCTGGTTCGTTTTCTCCAGCCAGGAGAATGCAATCAGCGCTGATGAAATGAAAAGCCGGCAGATGAGCATGTCGGAAAGGAGGTGGGTTTATTTAGTTCTGGATCAGCTGGCAGTTTTTGTACAGTTTTTACAGCGTTTTGTAATTCAGAGGCTCGGTTTGTATGCTTTGGTTATTGGAATATTTTAGTCTGTATTTTAGGCTAGCAATGAGTCCAAAGTGTTGACTTCCATAGGTTTAATCCCTTTAAACAAATGTAATTAGTTTTACCCGTTTATCTTGAGTCTATGTTTTTTAGAAAGTTTACTTTGAAAGTAAACAGGCTTAATTTAAGGCTAAAGCTTTTCGCAATTGCCAGAGCCCTTCAGTGTTGAGTTGCAACATTGTGACCCGAGACACGCCTGAGGCAACTTAAAGAAAAAAAACCACGGAGTTTATGTGTTTATTTTGTGAGCCTTTCTTGCTTTGCACTTAATTCCTGTGTCTTTAAGGGTACAGGGAAGGAATTGGGGAAGTGCATTCTTACTACACTCTGGAAGGAGAACTCAGAAGGAAGAGAGAAAGAAGGGCTGACCAGCTAGCTCAGGAGTCTACAAACTTAGCAACTTTAAGACCTGTGGACTTCAACTCTCAGAATTCCTCAGCCAGCCATGATGGCTGAGGAATTCTGGGAATTGAAGTCAACAAGTCTTAAAAATGCCAAGTTTGAAGACTCCTAAGTTAGCTGGTAGTGGTACATATTAATAAACATGGATAAATTCATCATACATTTTTCAGTGCAAAGCCACTGAAGAAATTAAAACTGGTACTTTTTTCCTTTTTTTCTACAGTTTGTAATATTTTATTAGATTATAGAATAAAATAAAAATATACATAAGCAAATAGTAGGACACAGTGGGGAGGAAAAGGGGAAAAGTGAGGGGGGAGAAGGGAAAAAGAACAGACTTCCTCTGTTGCAGTAGAAGGAAGCATTAACATTGAACCTCAACTTTTTACTTTTCCATAATATTATAAACTAGCCATTTCTATAACAAATGAATTTAATCAGTAAAACCCAAAATCCCCCCCTTTTTTTAGTCATCAAGTTTTTGACACCTTGCTAAGCACTGGTGGTACGCAAATATTGTCATGTCCTAAAAGTGATACAATCTGTGAAAAGGTTGAAAAGCCTTGGCTAGGAGCATGTATATCTTTCTGCCATTATTTTGTGAAATAAAACACATTTTATTGTGACTTGTGATCCAGTACATGTTATTCTGTTTTCCTCATTCAGATATTAAATGGACTGAATCTGCAGGTCAATAGTGGACAAACAATAGCCCTGGTTGGCAGCAGTGGTTGTGGGAAAAGTACAACTGTCCAATTGATACAAAGGTTTTATGATCCCTTGGAAGGCATGGTAAGATATCTGAAGCCATCCAGGGTACCTGGAACATATTTTATATTACATATCAGATAACTTCCCACAGGCAGGAAAAAAATTCATTGTAGAGAATGAGTACAGTTCTTGAAGTCAAACAGGTGGTGGCAACATTGGAAGCAAGACTTGGAATGATATCAAGTAAGGTAATCAGAATCTCTTGATAGTGTTTGAGATTTTTTTATTCACCCAATTCATCATATCAGGTAGTTCCAGGAAGAGTAGGAGATGAGGATGAAAGAGGAGGCCTATATACCGTTTACATTGCTGGAATGATAGCTAAAGGGATTTTTTAACACACAAATGCCTTGTGTGTCCAATCATACTTGGCCAATAAAGTATAATTATTCTATTTTATGCTATGCTGTGCTGTGCTGTGCTGTGCTATGCTATGCTATTCTTCTAAAGGGTTTTTACTTGCAAATCTTAACAGTCTGATATGGTAACCATTTTGTATACAATGTAGGAAGACAATAAAAAAGAAAGCACTTTGGAAAACATGGAAAACTTTTTCATTACTGAGAAGTCCTTCTAAACATTAACTTCAATCTTTCCTCAATATGTTATTTATCCAGTGTTCTTGGGAAATTTAAGTTATGGAGTAGTACTAATAAGATATATTGATTGAAATGAATTAATGCATCCTAATTTTCATGGCTGATTATCTGGCCACTCTAGTTAAACATTAAAAATTAATCATTGTTTTATTTTCTAAAGCACTTTAAGAGTGGCTATATCCTCAAAAGTATTTTAGATTAAAAAAATAAACATTTCTGTGAATCATACAATAATCAGTGTAAATAGTACCAGAAGAACATTTTTTCTTTCTGTTTTGAAATATTTAATCACATTTTTGTAAAATAAACAATACAATAAAAACTATTCTATTAAAATAATTAATATAATATAACCAACAATAGGATAAAATAAAATAAATGGTTTTTGCCTTGTTTTAGATTACCATTGATGGACAGAATATTAAAACCCTGAATTTAAGATATCTGAGAGAAATTATTGGTGTTGTAAATCAGGAACCTGTACTATTTGCCACAACAATTGCAGAAAATATTAGACATGGCCGTGAAAATGTCACCATGGAAGAGATGGAAAAAGCTACCAAAGAAGCCAATGCTTATGATTTCATCATGAATTTACCTGACGTGAGAAAATATATTGATTATTGCCTTTGATTATTCTAATGTCTTAAGTTATAGTGCTTTGTAATGCTTTAAATTACAGTGGAGATGCAGGAAACATAAAGAAGCATAACATTAGCATTATAGTTCCCAGAAAATAACCCCAAACTGTCTGGAGGACAAATGGTGGGGATTTACTAGTTTAAGGCCATGTGTATTTTTCATTTATTTTAGCTTTATTTAAGATAATACACTAATAGCATCAGTAAAATTACATGGAGCCCTTGAAAACCTTTCACAGGAATGGAAATGGTACTCCAACCCAGTTTTTCCAAAGTTTCCTGGTGCAATCAGATGATGATCATAACTGATGTAATTTCTAAGCATCATGGCTGGGCCAGCTAGAATTACAGGAACTGTAATCAATGGATATGGATATGTTGACCAGATTGTGGAAGACTGCTCTGTACTACCTGTGTTTAAACACTGCTAATCCAGTTTTCCTTTAGCTTTAGTTACAGTACTGAAAAGCCCAAATGGTAAGGTTCTCGCTACATTGGTATTCTATGGACAGCATGTGGCCACCCAGTATAACAAGAGAACCAGTACCAGTTAAGTTATTGGAGTAGAACTAGGGAGACCTAGATTCGAGTCTACTCTCAACATTGGAAACTTGCTAATTTTAGATAGATAGGATTTGTAATCAGAATATCATATCTTGGTATAAAAAAGGAAAAAAGTATATGTTAACAATTTTGACTAGGGGAAACTTTTGGTTACCCAAACATAATTTGTTTTGAAATTATAAACGATTGGGATATTTTGAACATGGACGGGGAATTAAAATTGTAAAAAGCGAAAATAAGATATAGATTGAATAAATGGATAATGAATGTAAATGCAATTAAGATATGCTTTGGTTAAAAGATATTTTAAACTGACATTATTGATACCTTTAGAAAAATATAACAAATGTTGATAGGCAATTGTATATTTACTTACAACAATAAGAATTTGCTTAGTGTGGAAAAAATGTCTATTACCAGATGAAGAGAGGATGTATTGGAGGGTGTAATATTGGATTAAGTTTGAAGAAGCTTACATGTACCATGAAATTGCTAATGGACTCAGTCATCACATTGTTTAATTAGGCACTTGATTGTAAAAATAGAAAATCAATAAAATATTTATAAAAAAAGAAGAAACTTGCTCATCTGAGCCAGTTACACTCTCTTAGCCTACCTTATCTCACAGAATTATGGGGAGGCGGGAATTGAAGGAGGTAGATTTGCATATATCATATTAAACTCCTGTAGGAAAGAAGGGATATAAATAAAATAAATATGCTATTAGAATTCAATTGCAGAAGGATAAATGGTTACTTTTTTCAGTCTATGTTTTGCATTGCAGTGCCAGGTAGGCATATAATATATTACCATATGATATGCTTCTGGGAAGTTCCCACTTCTACTCCTAATAATTCCCAAAAGATTTAAAAAATGAACTAAACAATTTCAGCTGATGACATCACAAAAATCAATGGATATCCCTCTGCAGCTCTTCAGAAGGTCACAAACTTAGGTTCTGCTTCCCATTCCCTTCACATTGTTCCCATTCATGCTCTAGGGCTAGGCCATTGTTTTTCAAACTTGACAACTTTAAAATATGTGGACCAACTCTCAAAATTTTCCAGTCAGCTTGGTGGTTGGGGAATTATGGAAGCTGGTCCATACATCTTAAAGTTCCAAGTTTGAAAAGCTTCACACTAGGTCATACATGATGTATTAGCAACTTTTGCACTAAAATGTCCCAAATAGACATACAAAATAAAAATAAAAAGTATTCTTGAAATCTCATGACATTTTAAGATTTCCACCGATTGTTGCAGGGGTGTTAGAAGCTCTGTGTTAGTAAGCATGTTTTAATACCATAGGGTTGATTTCATGCAGCACATTCAGCCAAAAGTGAAAAAAAAACTTTTTAATGGCTTAATGTGGTGTGAGTTTTGCTATTGTGATTTGTAAGTTGCAGTTTATGGATTAGTGTTCTGAATTAAGCCCATTAGGTTTATTCAGCAAATCAAGGTTCAACCAAATAATGATTTATAAATCAATTGATAGTATTGACCATGAGGTTACTTGCATTATGGGGGTGGGAATACATTCCCTAAAATATTAATGTTTTGTTCAGGTTTTTTTTTCTTGCTATTGAATGTAGGGTGTATTTGCAGAAGAAATAGGCCAATGCTTCTTATTCATTGATTTGCTACTTATTTTCAATTGAAATGTTGTACCACCCATACTGATGCTACCCTTGATGACAACTTCACTATTGATTCTAAGTTATGAAGTCAAATGTGTTTTGTTGTTGCTCTGCAGAAGTTTGAAACTATGGTTGGTGAAAGAGGAGCACAGCTAAGTGGAGGACAGAAGCAACGGATAGCGATTGCCCGGGCTCTTGTGCGGAACCCCAAAATTTTGTTACTGGATGAGGCTACATCAGCTTTGGATACAGAAAGTGAAGCTATCGTACAGGCAGCTTTGGATAAGGTTTTTAAAAATGAAACTGAACCTAATATATTAAAGGAAAGGGCAGTGGGGGGAAGCTAGTAAAAGATCTGACTATCAACAGTGAGTTGCTGGACTTCATTTGCCCAATGAGATCTACCCTCTAGTCTCCTATACCTCTTTGAAACCTTCTGCTAAGAGTCAGCAATATTCGGTAGAAACTAAAGTTGGGCTGCAAAGAGGAGATAATGTGAAGATCAGGTGCCCAGGACTTTTAGTTCTCATTATAGCCCGATTTCACTGATACCTCCTTTACATACACTTGACTTAAAAGAAACAATTTATGTCTTGTTTGGAAATTACATCAATATTACTTATTGAATTTGAAGAAGTGTTTGTCCAAATCAATGGGCAATGCTGCCTGAACACAATGGAAGTATTAAATATACAGATTTGGGCAGCACCATACTGGGGAAAAACATTCCAGCAATTGTATGGCTGATATGTTGTTTTTTTCCCCAAAAGTTGGGGAATAAAAAGGTTTAATACATTATCTGGAGGTGGGAGATTTAGAACTGGTCAAAGTCTTTGTTTAATAAGACATAGCAAATTTTAGACATAGACTAACACAAGATCTCCTTTGAGTCAAGTTCAGTTTGTGGTGACTTCATGGACACATTCATGCAATTTTTTTATATATAAAAAAAACAGAAAAGTGATTTGGCATTTTTTCCTGGATTAATCTGCAGCCCAGGTATATATCCAGGTACTAATGAAATCTACTCTTGATTAGCTCCCCAAAGTCATATGTTAAGTGAATTATTTATACCTTCACAGGATAATATAATGACAAAGATTTTGACAAGAAAGAAATGAAGACTTAATAAAATTATGAAGATAGTTAACTATAAATTCTTTTTTGCCATTTTTTTCATTGCTATCAACCATGAAATACAGCCAAGGAAACTTTCATAAAAAATAGATTCCACCCAAAGAGGCAGATTACCTGCTTGAATACAGTTAAGAGATTTGGATTTAGTTTTATGCCCTAAAATCCTTCTCTCTGAATATCTTGGACAAATCATTCACTTTTCTGCTTAGTGCAAATATTTATTCATATTTGTTAAATATATAGCCATTGCTTTATATAATTGTATATATATATAAAATTATATTATATATATTATATATAATATAATATATATTATATTATATATATATTATATTATATATATATAATTATATAATTGCTTCAGTCTAATTATATTAAATATGAAAATAAAGCAAATAAACATCTGACAGTTTTAATTGAATCTGGATATGTCTTTCAGGCAAGAGAAGGCCGCACAACAATTGTAGTAGCTCATCGTTTGTCTACAGTCCGAAATGCAGATGTTATAGTTGCTTTTGAAGATGGGGTCATTAGAGAACAAGGAGCCCATTACGAGCTTATGCAAAAGAAAGGAATTTATTTCAAACTTGTCAATATGCAGGTAGGCATCAATTTCTTCATATTGTTTTTCTTTTCCTTTCATTTGAAAATTTAACCTCTCTGCAGTGTACACTATCAATATTTCCTGTCTAAATCTTTTTGCCTGCCATGTCCCCATAATTTTGCCTTCATTTTGTAACTAACTCAAGGATGAGACTCTTTTATGCTTTAGGTTGGGAGACAGCTGAAACATGGGTAAAATCCAATACTGTTATATTAGAAGCAAAGCCAACTGACCAGAAGAGGGTAGGATCAGAATGGTATTTATTGGCATTGTTTTGTTAGTCTCTGGTCAGTGTCATCTCCCTCCATTCTGCCATAGCCTCCTTAAAAAACTGGATATAGCAATACTGTGCCAGGAGTCTGCCAGATTATGCAGTTTACTAGACTCAGCCAGTCTCCATAGATCTTCGTATAAGGTTGGACCAGTAAAACAGAAGAACAATGTAATAGTGGAAAAGAATCACAGTGAAATAGTTATGGAACCAACCCTTCTCATCACCTCTAAAACAGAGGATGGAAGAATTCAAAAGCGGATCAGAACTAATATAATTAAGTCCGGATAATGAGGCAGGAATTTTTGGGTCCATTTATTTTTCTTCTGGATCAAGGATGAATGGCTACCTCTTTAATTCAGTGATAGGGAAAGTTTCAAATAATGTTTATCAGAAGCAAACTGGAAAAGATCCTGAGTGCCTTTTCTAGGGCCCAAGCACTCCATTATATTTTTGTTTGTTTTTCCTGAGAGAGTGGGCCCACTTTGAAACATAATCCATTTTCATTTACAAAAAATATTATAGCTTCCACATAGGATTTCAAACAGCAATTGATCTATCAGGCGAAAGTTTGATGTTGCTAGCTTCCTACTGTGATGGCAGTTCTATTTTACAGCCAGGGTCATTCTGTAGTCTGAAGAAAGTCTCCCCAGAAATACAGGATATATTATTCACAGATAGCAGAATAAAATGAGACAGAAATTATTACAAGTAAATGAGAGGGGGGAACAGAGAGGGGAGGAATAATTAATGTTTTACAGTATCATCATCCATTACTGAATTTCTGAGAATAAAGCAAACAAAAATACAATTAACTATATATAAATCTAGTGACCCATTACATATTTTATATTGTCAGTGATCATTCCTACCTCTATCACAAAAGTGAGATATGATCACAAATAGCATTAATGCATTTCAACTGGACTCTATATCCCAAGCATTATTTGGAGATCTGAAATCTTTTTTATCACATTAACAAACACATGTTTGTTCAGGCAATTTCCACTGAAGTTGAAAACTCAGAAGACTCAGCAGAAGAAGAATCCCATCTGAAAAATAACCCAGAAGAGATAAGCAAAGATGCTTTTTCAAACAAGCTGAGGAGACGTTCTACTCGCAGAAGTATTAAAAAGCCAGAAATGGAGGAAAAAAACCTTGAGGTCCAGACAGTTCAGCCTGTAAGTCTTTTGGGTTTAGAGATTTGCATCTCTGGGACAAGTTATTAATTGTATTTTGTTTCTACAGCTGGGATCTGCAACAAATTGTTCTACTAAAGAACATTCCTATTAATGTTCCAGTCAGTCAACAGAACAAGTTCTTGAGGTACTCTGTCTGGTTTTCCCATCAAGCCATTGGTCTTCCCATATGGCAATTCCAAATAAGCATGCTTAGCTTATCAGGATCATTCATGGATTTTTTTTCTTTTTACAATTTTTGATGCATTTCTTGTAGACATTGTGCATGGTGTTGCTGCTTTGTCTGTTCCGTACTATGACAGGGAACAGGGCCTCAATGCAGGGCTAAGAGTGCAGTCTTATCCCAGTCAAACAGGGAGTTTGACTTTCATTTTTAGCCAAAAATATGCATGTCAGTGATGCATGCCACACAAAATGACCTAAAGAATAGTATGAGGCCTGCAGGCAGCAAGTTTGTCTTCAAGAAATGCTGGTGGAACTGCAAAGACTATTGGGCACATACAAACCTTTGAAATTTGGGAGGTGGGAATCAATGCCATAATATTAATTTTAAAAATTGTATCTATGTGTCTGACAGCACACATGCACTTGCTTATATATGTATATGCATGTATGGAAACCAGAGAACGATATGGATTATGTTTCATCTCTTTCCATATTCTAGGATGAAAATATTCCCAAAGTTTCATTTCTTAAGATTATGAAGTTAAATCTATCCGAATGGCCTTTCTTTTTATTGGGAACATTTGCTGCTCTGGTCAATGGAGCACTGCAGCCTGCATTTGCAATAATATTCTCAGAAGTCATAGGTGTGAGTATTTCATATATTTAATAATTTTTATACTATTCCCATGTCATTATATGATAGGTTCTGCTTTCAATATTCATTCCTACGCCATGATTTCAATCAGTAATGAACCTTCAAAAAGATATCTTTAACAATACGGGATAATTCTTGATAGAAATTATCTAAAATTGAATTAATAGCTTTATAAAATGCATATAGCCTGCTAGCTAATATAAAATATATGTCCCAGTGGTTTACTCATAAAGTCTCCCTCAAATTGAGCTTGATTTTTGGCAATTATAGCAATTGCACTTAGAGTTATATACTGTTTACAGAGTCAGCACCTTGCCCCCAACAATCTGGGTACTCTTTTTACTGACCTTGGAAGGATGGAAGGCTTGAACCAATGAAAATCAAACTGCCGAACTTCTGGCAGCTGGCAGTCAGCCGAAGTAGCTTGTAGTACTGCATTCTAACCACTCCGCCACCTCGGCTCTTATGTGACTAGATCTATAAAATGTTCTTGGCATCAAGCTGCAGAAGTAATTTGCCATTATCCTCCTTCAAGATCTTTCCCTGTAAAAGCTAGATTTCCTATTGGCCTCTCATGCCAGTACTAAATCAGTGCAATCCTGCTTAGCCCTTTTTGTGATTAAGATTAGCAAGCAGTTGCCAGTGGCAAACCTTTGTTCTAAATTGATTGCCTTATCTATGTGTCTACAAAGCCATTGTTTCTTCAGGAGAACTTCTAAATACAACGGGCATAAGCCAATGTCTGTGATATGAATTATTTTTTAAATGGCCACAGGATTACTAAGAAATTGGATATGGTTTATATTTCAATTTGCAACCTTCCATGCCAGTTTCCCACAAAAAAAGTCACTGGGGAAGAGCAAGCAGACAGTTGCAAGTTTCTTCTACAAGTTTCTCCTGTTCCCACTGCTTTTTCTCCCAAGAAGCCCCACTTTCTCATACCCTGTAGCACCCATGTGCGTCCTTTACTGTGCACCTGCCCCCAGTTCTTCATCACCTGTCCGTAGCTCCCACCAACTTGCAGGTGCTCTGTAGTGCTTACCCTTAGCCACTGCTGACTTGACCGTTTTTCCTGCTGGCAGGCTCATCTTCCATACTGCCTGCCCACATCAACCCTACCCCACATTTCATAAGGCCTATCTGTGGTACCCTTTCTCTCTGCAGCACGTGTGTCTCAGCATTCCTGGTAACCTCCATCACCTGGTGTATGCACACATCTCCCAGTGCTCCTTGCTTGGGATTCCTGCCTACTTAACAACCTGTTTGGTTTTACATTAGGTTACAACAACCAGGATGGATGAGATTGCCATTGCTAAGTGATTTGATATCATGACATCACGTTCTACAGCTGCATTACTTAATGATGAAAACTCTGTCCCCATTGTCCATTGTAACCTGAGGCCTACCTGTACATGAATGATGAAAGATTTAATCATTTTGCATTGAACATGTTACAGTTAACATAAAGAGTTTCACCATATGCACAGCTGAGTGGCTATATTAGAGTACCTTACTCTAATATGCCCTCCTTCAAGATTTTGTCTTTGTTGTCTTTGTTGTATAAAGATGTATATAGGCATCAGTACTGTCTCAACTGCTGGGCCATTTTGTTCCTCAGTTGCAAATCTAGGGACTATTAATATCTACAGTATATATCTTTACACAATAAAGACAAGTTGGAAGATTCTCCTGATAGGAATCTGCTGGTAGGAAAAAATTATCAATCATTCTCCTTTGTGTGTGCCAAGGCAGGTTGGTTATTGTGTCTGGAATAAGCTTAATCTTCAACTTATCTAGGTGAAAAGTTGCCAGCACAAAGGTAGTTCCAGGCTATTTCTGAACATGGATTTAGTCTTCCTCTGGAAGACTGTCCAACAATCATATGGTGGAAGAAGAGTTGCCCAGCTTTCATTTCTTCAAACCAGTTCTTCTATAAACCAGTGGCTTGACAGATGGGACAAGAAGCATGGAGGAAAAGATACAGATTAATATGTACCCTTATACACACACACACACACGCATATGTAGATGTATAGTTATATATAAATTATCTGTATATACAAGAATACACATGCTTTCGTGCTTATTTAATGACACTCACTCAATGACTACTCAAACTTACAACAGTACTAAATGAGTAATAGTTACAACCAATCTTTATACTTACAGTTGTTGCAGTGTCCCTGCAGTCATGTACTTACAATTTATGACCTTCCCTGCTGACTTCCCACAATGTCAATGAGGAAGTTGCAAGTCTTGGTCTTGTGATGTCCTGGTTTAATGATGGTGACTAGGACTCCTAGAACTGCTGTTGCTAAGCAGTGTGGTCACATTTGATTGAACAATTGTGTCACTTAACAATGGAGTTTCCAATCCCAAACACACAACACATATATAAACATATATACACACGGAGATGGTAATTTTTTTATAAGAAAATTTTGTGCAGAGCAGCGGGTGAGATTTGTTGGGTACCAGTACATATTAATTCCTCCTTGGGGTTATACTATGAATATAAAATTGTGTTCTCTTAATGTAACTATTATTAAATTGTTAGCTATAATGTTGGTAGATGAACCCTTTATTTTAAATCATTTTATTTGAAAATTTACCTTTTATATGTAAAACCCATTTATTCTTGATCATATTTTTATTTTCTATGGCAATGATGATCTTCTCAAATGCTGGTCAAAGACTTTAATAAAGGCTTGTGAGATGAGGGAATGTTTGATTAGCCATTTACGGAGCAGACATAGTTGTGGAACCTTCCTGTAATAAAAATAAAAACACTCCAAAAACAAAGGTTACATATTAGCCAATTTTTTCTTTTCTTGGAAAATTTGTAATATACTCATTGGTAGTTTACAGTTTCGTGGTTAAAACTGACTCCTTTGAGCAAAGGGCTAGTGCTATTTTACAAGTGTGTTAAACCCAAGTTTAAAGAACTGGCCAACACCCGTGTATTTAGACAGCCCACATAATGATTGCCCGGTACCTTCCAAAACACCAGGCAGGCAAATAAAAGACAGGCATCTCGTTCTTTCCTGTAGTACCTGCCAAAATGCCTCTGGAGAGCAATGCGCCAGCCATAGGAGAAAGTGACCATGAAGAACTGGGTATATTTCAGCCACTGAGCCAATATTTTCAGTGAAGTGTTATGGATTATTATATTGGGAGAAGAAAGAAAGCTTTACTTTAAAAGTCTATGGAGATTCTCAGTCATCCAGCTCATGGTTGTCCCAAGGCTGCTTTTTCAAGAGGCAACTGGACTTTCTTGTTTTGCTTTGAAGATGTTTCGCTTCTCATCCAAGAAGCTTCTTCAGCTTCTTCTTGGATGAGATTCAAAGAAAAACAAGAAAGTCCAATTGCCTCGTGAAAAAGCATCTTTGGGACAACCATGACCTGGATGACTGAGAATCTCCATAGAGATTTAGCTTTACTTTAAAACTAAAACAGATTTAATACTAGTCTAAGCTTCCTTGAGAGTGACTAGAATTGAGACAAGAGAAATGTCACACAAACTTATCTTTTAAAAACTATTAAGAGAGGTTTTCATTTTGTGATATACAGAACATAAAAAGTTATATTATCTAAACAATGTATAATACCACATTGGAAGTAAATGAAATAAAACTAAGGCTGAAATTATTGTTTCCATAGATTTTTGCAATACAAGATCCCAAAGTTGTGCGTGAAAAGAGCAATCTCTATTCACTACTATTTTTAGGGATTGGCATTGTTTCCTTCATTACCTTTTTTCTTCAGGTAAGTTGCATTGTTTTATTCTTACCATTTTTAGATGGATTCTGAAAATATTGAGGAAGAAGAAAACTCAAGGAATTTCTACCAATTTAGAGGCAGCTCCAGACATTGTGACCTCCAGAGCTATAGCATTCTAGAGCTATTATTAAATCAGGAAAAACAAGAGTTTTTCTCATGAGGTTCTGTGGCTATTTGGAAAATTGGTGCTTTAATTATGGAAAGGAAAACATCATGCCTGTGTCTTAATGCGGTGTATTTTAAATTATTCTACTGGCATTTTAAATTATTATTCTTTATGATAATTTAACAATATTTGAGCCCTGTAGTACACTATTAGTCTAATTAAAATGTGGATTCTACTAATGGTCTCTAATCATATTTACTTTAGAAAGCCAATTTAAGAGAGAAAGGAAATGGTCCAAAAGGGGAAAGAGCTAAATATAAAGTCTGTTGGACTTTGGTGGAACAACTGTTTGTATGGGTAGAATAGAATAGAATAGAATAGAATAGAATAGAATAGAATAGAATAGAGATAGAAATAGAAGGGACCTTGGTGGTCTTCTAGTCCAGCCCCTGCTTAAACAGGAGAACTTACACCGTCTCAGACAGGTGAATATCTAGTTTCTTCTTAAAAATCTCCAGTGATGGAGCACCCACGATTTCTGGGGGTAAGCTGTTCCACTGGTTGATTGTCGTCATTGTCAGGAAGTTTCTCCTTAATTCCAGATTGCTTCTTTCTTTCATCAGTTTCCAACCATTGTTTCTTGTCCTTCCATCTGGTGCTTTGGTAAACAACCTGGCCCCCTCTGCCTTGTGGCAGCCCCTCAAATACTGGAATACTGCTATCATGTCTCCCCTATTTCTTCTTTTCTTTAGATTAGCCAAACCCAAATCCCATAGCCGTTCTTCATATGTTTTAGTCTCCAGGCCTTTGATCGTCTTAGTTGCTCTTCTCTGAATTTTTTCCAAATTCTCAACATCTTTTTTGTGATATGGTGACCAAAATTGGCTGCAGTATTCCAGGTGTGGTCTTACTAGGGTTTTATAAAGCAGTAATAATACTTCGCCACAGAATGTGTTCAGAAAGGCAAAATGGTGGCCACACTGGTGCTATTGGATCTTCACCTATTTTTTTATATGTGGTGCTCATAAAAACCAGTAGAGCATAAAAAACATTGTGACTATTATCTTGATTTTGTTTTTACTATTCCCTCTGAATGTTTGTTTTCTAGGTGTTTTATTTTCTGTCCTATGAAAAGAACACTGTGGTGCTCTTCCATTTGGCTTTGTGTTGCTTTTATATTTATGGCAATCAGTTACAACAATCTTCTCTTTTAGGGTTTCAGTTTTGGCAGATCTGGAGAGATTCTTACAATGAAGCTACGTTACATGGGATTCAAAGCAATACTTAGACAGGTATGCAGAAGAAATGTGCCCTATTTGCTTTATTGCTTTTATGCTATTTCAGCCCAATTGGTCATGGCTTGTTGTACATTCCAAAATGTATGAAAACATACAAAACATGTATCCAAGGAGTAATGTAAATTGTATTTCTTAAACAATCCTTTTCCTTATGGTATAATGATATAATAAATCATTTTTAAAGTAACAGATCCCACATTATGCACTTTGTTTTTTCTAAAGGCAAGTTAAACAATAGTTTAAATGTCAGCCTTCTTATTTAAAACAGTCTCAAAATTCACCAGTTAGAAAGTTTCATATATATTTTATTTTCATTTTATTTGAGAAATTTCTATGGCCACCCACTCACTCATAGACGTTCTGGGCAGCTTACAAGCAGTTATTAATTATTATTATTATCATGATTTTAGAAATTAACTGTTATATACAGTAGGACTTCTACTCTACAGCAGATATTGAAGCAGTGCGTAATATTGGTTAGATGTTGGATCAGGTTCGGAGAGATTCAAGTTTAAATCTAAACCTAGATGATTTAAAAATCATCAGCAAATTTGAGTCTATCTCACAAAACTCTTGCTGTGGGGAAAAATATGGTTGGCAAGCCTGGAAAATTTCATGCTACTTCGTATATTTTTTCCCCCCTTGGCTTGTCTACAGAAGTGGGAAGGGAGAGAGTGGGGAGAATGGAATGTGTAGTGCAGCTGGTGCAGCAAGTTTGTTTTGGAAAACTGAAGAGTCTTTCTCATAGTTGTCTGGAGCTCAATTGGACAATGTGACCTGCACTGGGGAGGAGGGGAGGGAGTTGCTATAGTTTTAATATACTGCTTTTGTGCCAATTTAATCAGAGCTAACTTTTTGTTCATTAATGCTGGTATGCGTTTCCCAAATAAATCTGGCATTAGAGATTGCAGTGTCTCAGGTGTGCTTGCTTTGTTGGGATCATGAGCCAGAATCATGACAATGGTAGTATTATATAATTTGTGTTGAATCCTACAAGAAAATATGATGTATAAATCTAAATAACAAACATTGAATGAATATACAAATGAACAATGCAAATCAGCAACATCATCTTCTGATGTCAATCAGTGGGTGTGTTGAAAGATCTTTTGAAGGGGGTAGAAAATTAATTCAATTGGGTAGATTTTTTTTCTAACCATTCCCCATAGGAGGGAGCCTACTTCTCTGAAACATTTAATATTGTGTTCCATTGCAATAATTTTTAAAAATTGCTTTTTAATTCTTGCTAATAACAATCCACTTTTTCTATTCATTTTTTATCATTTGAGGTATTTCTGTTTTTATGGTTTTCTTCCTCCTTGGCAAAAAAAAATCTACAAATCTCATGTGAAACCTTTATCATAGCAAAAGGTTTAATATGTTCTAAAGCTAAAGCATGTTAATGACCTGAAATAAAGGGTACAAAGAAAAAAAATGGAAAATTGAGGTTATTGTTTTAAATCCATAAGTATGTAATTGTGAAAAGAAGAAAAAATCTTGCATAGTTTATTTTAAAAAACCCTAATCTTTCAGTAGATGGTTACCCCAAAAAAGAACCCTCATAAATTCACGAAAAGGAATGATAATTATAATACAGCATAGATTTTATCACATCTTGATTCTATCTAAATTCTGATCTTTTATTTAATTTGATTTGAAAAGTTTCATTTGAAAATAAATTGTTACTTGAAATGTTTTATAGGATATCAGTTGGTTTGATAATCCCCAAAACAGCACTGGAGCCCTAACTACAAGGCTTGCAAATGATGCTTCTGAAGTAAAAGGTGTAAGTAATGACACATTTCCAATCTATTCCCAAGAACTTTTCTGTATTATCCAAAATAGAAATTTAACCATGGATTAATTATTTACTATGGCAACTATGCAAATGTAAAGTTCCTAACGAATGCAGGGGTTTTGTTTTAGATTGTATCGGTCAGAGAGAACAGGAAGCAGAAAACAAATGCTTCTGAATACCTTCCACTGTAGTTTTCCAGTGTTGTCTCTATATGAACAGTTCATCTACTAAATTGTTTTAATATTCTTTTTCTCCTCTCCTTTCTCAGGCTACAGGGGAAAGGTTAGGTATAATTGCCCAAAACATTGCTAATCTTGGGACTGGAATTATTATATCATTTGTGTATGGCTGGCAGTTGACTCTTCTACTTCTGGGTCTTGTGCCAATCATTGCAGTAGCAGGACTCATTGAAATCAGAATGCTATCTGGACATGCTGAGAAAGATAAAAAGGAACTTCAAGGTGCAGGGAAAGTAAGTTTTTGATCAATCATTCTCTTGAATAGCAAATCCAAATACTGATGAACAGGCTGTATTGAAACCAAGAAAGAAACACTGAGAGATATAAAAGACAATTTAACTAATTTTTTTTCTTGATTCTCTTACAATCTATAGTAGCCTCTTTCAATTTGTTGTTCTCCAGATATTTCAGGATTACATCTTCTGAGACTCCAAGCATACTTCTAGTTCTCGGAGTCCCAGTACAAATCAAGGTGTCAGTTGGGGAAGATTGAATCCTAACAGAGGACTAATTACTTGGCAAACTCCTGTTTGGGAATGCACATTGCATCTTGCATCAGATCTTGTTTAATTTGAGTACTTGTGGTTTCTATTTTTCTTGTATTTGGGAAGAAAACCTTTAAGACGGTTATTAAATCCATCTTCTCTCCCAGATTGTTTTCCAAAACAATCAAAAGATATTACAGTTGCTGATGTTAGAGCTTAATGCTGCAACTAACATCTCTCCCTTCATCATAGTGATTTCAGTGATTTTGGCTGGTTTCCCAGGATTTAGAATGAGAATGAGTTTTCGTCTGACTCCCAATCCTGCCCATAAAAACTATTCAAAAAAAGAAGCAAAAGACATTTAGAGTAGTCATCAAGTTCTGATGATATCAGAACCATATCAGATTTTGTCCTGTAGCCCTTCAGAAGATCAGGAAATCAAAATGCAATCTCCTGCACCTCAAAAACCTCCACACCTGATATATTTAATTTTGGCTTAGTGTTATAAATGAAAATATGATATTTGTGGCTTATTCAATAAATGATACCTAATTTTTTCATGAATTAGTATGATAAGTAGTACTCTGTCAGTGCTTACAGCAGATACCAAGAAATAACTATGCTCTAGTTCCAAAATTAAAATTTGGTGGCAAATATGTAAAACTATTTTGCCATAGTATCAGAATATAGTGTTTTTTATACCTTTTTGCCAAGTTATTTTTTCCTCAGAGTGATGGTCTTAAAATATCATCCTAATATATTAGGATTAGAAAATGCCAATTTGGTAAACACTAACCTAAATTGTGCTTCTTGAAGCAAAATTCAAATTGGAGAGTTCATTATTTTCTGTTACTACTGTATTTTTTGCATTTTACAGATTGCAACAGAAGCTATTGGAAATATTCGAACTGTAGTTTCCCTCACTCAAGAAAGAAAATTTGAACAAATGTATGGAGAAAGTTTGAACGGACCTTACAGGTAAGAAATATTAAAATGTCTTGGCAACATTTGAAAACAATGAATTAGAAATTGAAGATTTTATCACAGCCTTTTCCAGTATAATGCCCTCTATTTGTAACAAATTACAACTTCTATCATTCTCTAGAGATCCCTAAATATAGGTTTGTACTATATTAAAAAAGATTAGCATGAATTATTCATATGGAATTCTGATGGATTTTATTTTATTAATAAATGTGCAAGGAATGTATCAGTATGAAAAAAAACCCAGCTTTTTTCCATTTTTTGTTACAGAAATTCTATAAAGAAAGCACATCTTCACGGACTAACTTTTGGCATTTCCCAAGCAATGTTGTACTTCTGCTATGCAGGCTGTTTTCGTTTTGGTGCCTACCTTATTGCAAATGGACATATGGATTTTAAATCCGTATTCTTGTATGTAACACTACAATATTTAAAAAACTATTCCAAGTGCATCATAGTATACTAGAATAGCACCATTGAAATTGTGATTAACTAAATGCTAGAATGGGTGGCCTGGTAGGACAGTTAAAGCTTCAAGAGGAAGAGTAATATTTACGGTATGTGGAAAGAATGATCTGCTAGGCACTTTAGAAAAATTCTGGAACCATGTACTGCAAAAATTAAAAGAATTAATAACTTGGTTCTTACAATAAATGGAGATCTAGACTCTTGTCTTCTTAATCTTGACTGACTATTTAGGCAGAGCAAAGATTAAGAGTAAAAAAAAAAGCATTACTACATAAGGAATAAAATTTGGACATCAGGAATAATGAGTTAGCATGAGATGAAAAGCAATATTGATCAATTTAAATTAATCTTTGGCATGTCTGACTAAGATGATGATCTAAAAGTTAGTGAGCCATGTCTCTAGAAGTAGCACAAGAGCAATTGTTTAAGCATTTAATTAAAATAGGAAATACACACAGTTCATGAATTCCAATGATAAAAAGGCAGATTACTACCGTAATATTAGAATTATTTTTTGCATGATTGATTAGAGATTTTTGCACATGCAGCTTTTTCCAGAATAGAATACTATAGTAAAGCATCTACAGTATTAGGACAGTGATGACGAACCTATGACATTCCATAAAATTTGGTAGATGCCAGCATTTACCAACACCCAACAACAATTATTTTCTAAAGTGCGCCCCATTCTTGTGTGATTTTTAGAGGCTGCATGAGACTGGGGTATGAGACTGGGGTATGCTCTTGTGCAACGTCCAGACCCTCCGAAAATGATTTTGTTTTACTTAGTTCATTTCATTAATTATTATATAATACATAACACTACACATAATTGACTGCATTTTTAAAAACAAATATTAAAAAATATTGGGGGGGGGGGCAGTGACACACCAACTGAGTTAAGATAGGCATTTTCTGAATTTTTAACATGGTGAATCAAAAGGATTTGCCATTACTGCACTAAGTCAATCTTTCACAACCTGGTCTCTTCCAAATGCATTAGCAATGTTATTCCCTGATTTCCCAGTTATTATGATAATTTCTCATTAACAACAAAGAAAATAATAAAATATTCATGTACCCAGCTCTTCATTAATGTAACATGTGTTTGTCCTGTTTTGTTATTTTGTTGTTCCAGAGTATTTTCCTGCATTGTATTTGGTGCCATGGCCGTAGGGCAGACCTTTTCATTCACACCAGATTATGCCAAAGCCAAAATATCTGCTGCTCATATGTTCATGTTATTCGAAAGAGTCCCATCTATAGATAATTACAGTGAGGAAGGAAAGAAGCCTGTAAGTTGATTTTGGACCTAATTTCAATACTTGACTTAGCTACTGTGAGGACTATAGTTTATGAGCTATTTATTGGTAGATTCACAAGATTATGTGTGCCATATTATTCCAACACATGCAGCCTAATAAATTATCAGCCTTTCTTTTCACAGGCACAGGTAATCCCAACTATCTATTTCATTGTAAATAATGGCATATTGAATTGTGCTATTGATTCGACAATTATGGTGCAAAAATCAAGATATTGCATACTTCACATTATTGTACTAGTTTCTGTAATCCAGATTTGTTGATTTGTTTAGTCCAGGTTTTGTTAAAATTATTCAATTATCAGAATTCCTACCTAGAAATCTAGACTTGTAAACTCAGCACTTCTTGATTGTGCAAGAATAGTATGTTCATTTAGAAGTCATTCCTCAGTGCCATCTTCCTTCTGAGGCTATAATATTAAATTACAGCTCTTTCAGTCTTAGAAGGCATTAAAATAGCTTTTAATTAGAATGATACCTTTTAGTTTTAGAAAGTTATAAAATAATTTGGATGGCTAATACCACTAAAACTGCTTGCTTTACTTTTGATATGTCTCTTTTATGTATTTGTCAACCATTTTTCTTAACTGTATGGATGTTGCTTGGATTCTAGGAAACAATGAATAGCAATATAGCATTTAAGGAAGTGGTTTTCAACTATCCAACCCGGCCAGATGTTCCAGTGCTTCAAGGTCTGAATATTGCTATACAGAAGGGGCAAACCCTGGCGCTTGTGGGAAGCAGTGGCTGTGGAAAAAGCACAGTAGTCCAGTTGCTTGAAAGATTCTATGATCCCCTCAGTGGAGAAGTGGTAAACTCATTTGGATTTTGCTTATATTGCTTTCAAAATTCAAATCAATGTAATACGATGCTAGATAATAAAATATTCCTACTCAGAATTGAACCCTAGCTGCCAAAATCAGGCACCATTTTATTTTTTTAAAATATTTTTTTTATTTTCCCTCTTTGGGAATTTTGAACATCTTTAGAAAAAGATGGTCCTATTGGAATTCATGCTGTGGTATATAAATGAAGAGTGAGGTCCCATGTCTTACTCTGCGTCATTGTCCTTCAAGCTTTTCCTGGAGGCACCTCCATGTCAAGAATAGTTTAGGGCAATTTAAGAAATGGGGAACTTGTAATCTTTGGGTGTTGTTGGATTGTAACTTCCATCCTCCTCTTTATATTGATTATGTACCTGGAACTTAATCCAGCAACATTTTTGATATAAAGTCATCTTGGGATGAGGTAAAGTTTGATCTAAACGTTTCCTTTCTATTTCATTCATTCATTTATTCCATTCAAATTATGCATTAAATTGATCATATTTTCATCTTCTTTCTTGTGGGATTTCTGTCATTTTTCTTTTGTGATGCCTGATTGATTGATTAGATGCCATCAAGCCATTTTCAACTCTTAGCAACTGTAGCCTATTCTTTCAAATATCCTTACAATGTACTTAATGCCACTATAACTGAGGTCAGACACTTTCCAGCTGATTGTCCTCTTCCTTCTTTGTAAGGAAAAGCTTTCAGTATGTCTGATAACATTTTTGAAGGCTAATATCCATTGTACATCACAAAATTCTTGGCCTCTAAACTGCAATAATTCTATTTTTTCAGCTTTTGGATGGTGAAAATGAAAAGCAGTTAAATATTCAATGGTTGCGGTCTCAGATTGGAATTGTTTCTCAAGAACCAACTCTGTTTGGCTGCAGCATTGCAGAAAATATTGCCTATGGTGATAACAGTAGAGAGGTATCATTTGATGAGATATGTGAAGTAGCTAAAGCAGCCAATATACATTCCTTCATTGACTCTTTACCAGAAGTAAGTTCCTTTTCTAACATGTCTTTCATTGAATTCCTAGGTGTGCTTTCATTGAATTCCTAGGTGTGCAAAGAGACTCTTCTTGATGGTATAATGTTAAGGAGTTTTTCTTGATGTGGAAATTAAGCAAAATGTTTCCATAAAGAATAACAGGTTGCATATCCATGATAGCACTTAATTAATTATGTTTAAAAAACTTTTAGCAAATTAAAATTAGAGGGTTAGAATTATCTCTTATTATACTAAGTTGTATGATTTCTTATATGTAATTTATTTATTCATCACATTTCTATGCCACTCATCTCACCTAAGTGATTCCTAAGATTACATTATTATTTTTACTACAAGAATTTTCACACTGTTAAATCTGCACCCTAGAGGAGCACTCTAGGGTTGGTTTACTCTGCTAAATTCTTATATGCAATTATATATGCATAGAGGTAGTCTTCGACTTATGAGCCCAAAATTTCTGTTGCTAAGTGAACATTTGTTGAGTTTTACTCCATTTTACAGCTTTTCTTACCACGGGTTTAAGTGAATCATTGCAATTGTTAAGTTAGTAACATGGTTGTAAAGTGAATCTAGGTTCCCCATTGATTTTGCTTGTCAGAACATCACAAAAGGTGATTATGTGACCCATGGACACTGCAACTGTCATAAATATGAGCCAGTTGCTAAGTGATTAAATTTTGATCATGTGACCATAGGATGCTGCAATGGTTGTAAGTGTGAAAAATTTCACAAGTCACTTTTTCAGTGCTGTTGTGATGGTCACTAAACAAAAAGTTGTAAGTCAAGGACTAACTATACACTAATATTTTCCCAAAATATTTCTACACAAATGTTAATATATTTCTACATAAGTTCTAGACAACTTACAATTCTAAAACGATTGATTAATGCTTGGCACTTAAGTACTTGCAGGGGTGTTTACTCGAATCTGAATCTGCCCAACCTATTGAGTCATCCTAGAGAGAAACTGTTTTCAGTTCCTTACTTTAATGAATTGAATTGAAGCTAAAAGTTCCCCCTATCCCTGCTGTACCAATTATCCCTGGTCAGTAAATTAGAGAGGGCAAGTTGCAGTAATCTAATTGAGAGATAACAAAAAGTTCAGGTTCCTGATTCAGAAAAGGTAACAATTGCATAGTTGACTGAACGTGTCCTGGTCACGCCCACCATTTTTTGCTTCAGCAAGATCCAGGAGAACCCTCAGAGTAAAGCACCTGCTTCTTCAGAGGAAATGTATATATATAAAACTGGGGATCATAAATATATAATATTAACTATACCTCAGTCCATATTAATAAAAAATATGAGGTAAGGAGAAATTCTGGGCACCCCACATGGAAATAACAATAGGACTCAGCCTGTCCATCCCCACCAACACTTATTGGAATAGAAAGAATAGAACCACTACAGAATAGTGTCGTTGATTCCCAACTAGGAAGCAATATACAAGGATACTATAGTTCTGAAAAATCTTAGAAATATCTCTCATACAAGTCCTGTCATAAGTCATCTATGTCAGCAACTAGTGCAGTTTTAATTTCATGCTTAAGCCTGAGCCCCAATCAAAAGGAATTCATGTACAGGTAGTCCTTGACTAACAACCACAATTGGGATAGGAATTTCAATAGTAAGTCATTGCATTTGTAAGTTAAGGCACCCAATTTTACAATGGTTGTTAAACAAATCTATTCTCCCAAATGGGTGTTCTTTGCCTGAAACTGGCAAAAACCACTGGAAACTGGCAAAAAGTTGCATATTCAGAAATGTCACCAGGGATGCTACAAGAAATCATAAATGCAAGCCAATTGCCATACACCTGAAATGCAGTCATGTAACCATGTACCTGGGCGGGGGGAGGGCATTTTATGTCAGCCAGAAATGCTTTCCAAGGCCATTATAACTTCAAAAGGTTGTTAAACAACCTGTTGTAAGTCAAGGATTACCTGTAATCTATCTTATCTAGAGTTATTTGAACTTGATATATGCAGAAGGTTATTATGAACTACAACTAACAACTGCCTGCTGAGTTGGGAGTATTTTTTCATTTTCTCCAACTGCCATAAAATGATTGAAACGTCCGCTCACTACCTACAGAGCCTTGGATATTGAGGTATATACCGTGTTTCCCTGAAAATAAGACCAAAAGGCCTATTAGGGCTTCTTTTCAGGGGAATGCCTGACTTTGCAGCCCACCATCCCACCATCTAGTTGCTTGTGGCCGCAACAGGGCAGGAGAGCGGGCATCGCACCGCTGCCACTGCCATGAGATGAGGCGAGGCAGATGGGAGAGTGGAGCTGTCCCATGTACCCGTACCCGCTTACCTTAGGGCTCCCGCAGCCAGGCCACTCCCCACTAGGTGACCCCCTCCCACCCATTCAATGACCTGGCTGCCCACCTGCTTCTCTTTCACTCCCCTTCTGAACTGCACTGCCGGGGAAAGTGACAGCGAAAGGTTCTGCCACTGCTGCGCAACAGCCATGTCTGCCGCTAGACACTCCCCCTGGCTCTGAAACAGCAGAGGGGGACTGAGTAACGCAAGAGAGGTCACCTGCCTCACCTCAATTCATGGCGGCAGCTCCGGTGTGATGTGTATTCTCATGCCCCATTGTGGCAGCAAGCAACCACATGGTGGGACAGAGTGGATGGGCTCTTAACTAGGGTTTATTTTTGGGGTAGGGCTTATATTAGGCGCATGCCAAAGAATCAGGCTAAGGCTTATTTTCTGGGTGGGTCTTATTTTGAGAGAAACTCTTGGTACATGGCTGTTTATATGACATTATATGACATATATGACATATGCCATTATATGACATATATGACATTTATATGACATATGACATTATATGACATTAGTAGGGTTAATTAATTAATTAAGCTTTTTACCTCTTTATAAATTCCACTTTTGCTCAACTTGGAGCATTGGCAGTCTACTAAGAGATTGTACTTTAACTGAAATGCTCCCCAAGGAAAGAACTTCAGAGAGAAACAGAGAGAGATAAAGCAGGAATTTTACATGCAAAGAATCTAGCTTGTTCATTGGCATAGTTCAGGGGTCCACGAACCGGCACCGGTTCGTGGCATGCCAGCAACTGGTCCACCCAAACAAGCGAAGCCTTATCTGCAGGATGTAGGCCTCACACAAAACCACGCCTCCTTCAGTCCATGGAAAAATCTTTCTCCACGGAATTGGTCCCTGGTGCCCAAAAGGTTGGGGGCCACTGGCATAAATGATCAAATTAATTGATACACCAATATTTATTGAAATAATGTTGATTACTTATAGAAATACAATACTGCTGTTGGTGACAAAGGAACTCAACTCTCTGGGGGCCAAAAGCAGCGCATCGCTATTGCCCGTGCTCTCCTCCGCCAGCCAAAAATTCTGCTGTTGGATGAAGCAACCTCTGCCCTTGACACAGAAAGTGAAAAGGTAATTATTTTCTCAATGCAGAAAACATAGGCTTCCAATTGGGAAGATTTCATAATACAGGATATCATTTGAGACAGACCATACCTAAATAGTAAGTACATAAAAAAAACCTCTCCATTTGAGTCCCTGGCTATTTCAATTGAACTGGAAATGTTCCTTTTTCTAGTTGTTGTTGATGTTATTTAAAGAACTTAGGATAGGGTTGGGTAGATAGGGTAGGGTAGGATAGGATAAGATAGGATAAGATAGGACAGGATAGGACAGGAGAAGATAACCTTTATTATCATTTTTTAATGTGAGTACACTGGCACACATTAAAAATGAAAATCTGTTGTCTGCTCTCAAAAGAAAGTATATATCTGCCAATACACAGACATAATACACATATACACATGCTATAAACATATGTGTGTATGTAGGTCTTTGGTCATTCGGGTTCTCTCCCGCGTAAAATTGGAAGTATCCTGGCGACGTTTCGACGAAGTCACATTCGTCATCTTCAGGCTGGTGTCTTCAGCTTCCTGCTTCTGGGAGTAGTGTGTGTGATCGCAGCTGTTTCTTCCTTTTAACTGCCAGTGGGGTTTGAGCTGATTGGGTGGGAGCTTGGCT